CAGTCCTCTCAGCCTCCTGCTGCTTTTCTATCCTTCAAGGAATTCATTTCTGAGCAATTAGCAAAGTCCGTCATGTGGAACTACGGCCTTTCAACGGTTACTGCTTCTGACCTTTTCTGACAACAGCTCGAGAGCTCGACGACTCTCACTCCCCAAAGGTCTTCAAGTAGGAAAACATAATTACAGTGTGCAACCTAATCATGGCTGTACTGTAACAACTGTAAACAGCGCACGCACGCAAGCCGCCCGCCACGAACCAAACAACGGCTTGTCTGCATGACGAGGCCACTCAATCTACTGAACATCGGGTGGGAAATAGTGTTTGTATGCGACTGATATAGTGACATTCCTGTCGATCTGCAGAAGCATCGAAATGGGTGTGTATGCTGTTCAATTAGGGAAAAGGGTTACCAGGACACTATGTTCTGGTTGAAGTCCCATTCATATGACAACCACAGTCCTTGTTGGGCCATCTTTCAAAATGCCACACAAGCTAATGAGTAACTATGGCTAATGCATATTCATATATATCAACACACACACATCCTGCACTGACACGCTCCCCGCATCGGACCTGGGGGGCATGGCCCCCACCCAGTATAACTCTCTCCTCCAGAACCTCAGATATTCTCCATCAATCACCACTTTCAAAACAGCACTTAAAACAAATTTATTTAAATGGGCTTTCAATCTGTGATGCCAGTTAACAGAAACAGTTTTAGTTTTGTTTCCTACAGTGATGTCATTTCTCTTGTTTATATTGCATTGCTTTAAATGTTGGTTTTTAGAAGCTTAAAACGGGCTTTACAAATCAAATATATTACCATTATTATTATTATTATTATTGCTTAAGAAACAGAAATGACCAAATCTCAAAAACTACACCTCAACTTTAAACAAAATTAAGAGAGGCACAAAAAGCCGGTTGTTATGTAATTCATACTCTTTGAACATACATACAGTTGTAATTTAGTAGTCTGGACACCTGAGTGAGAGGGACAAATAGCATTCGTAAATGGAACTGGGTGTCTATGGAAATTAAAACAAATTTAAAAAAAAACACATGAGAAGTAAATTAAAAAAAGAATTCAGTGTGCAAAAGAGGCCAAATATCATTTTATTCCTACCAGAAAGTACTGAGGTTTGACACCCATTCCTTGTCAGAAACACTCTTAGGTTTAAAGAACTCGAGTGTGTGTCCATGTGTGTGTGTGTGTGTCCATGTGTACAGACTCACTTTCTGGGTCTTCAGGTAGAATGGGTCCAGATCCTCCAGTGGTACCGCCACCAGTCCCTTAGGGATGTCCCCGTAGATGTAGGGCAGGCTCTTGCCGGCCTCCAGGTCGCGGTTGGGCTTGGGCTTGTTCTCGTCGTCATCGTCGCGGTAGCTGCTGTCCTGCTTGGCTGGCTTCTTGTTCTTCTCCTCATTGATGCGCAGCTCAATAGTCACCAACGATTCCAAAGTAAACTTCTTGAAGCTATCAGGTCCTGGCGGTGCGATAAGGGGTGCGGCCATGTTTTCATCCTGCAGCCACCTGGTCTTTAGGTTCGTACCATCCACAGGAGCAGCTCTGCAGGAGGCGCAAACAAGAGGAACGGTTGATCAAAAGTTTGCATTGTAATCTAACGGTAGCTAGAGCCGTATTTCTAGACTTTTTCTTTGAGCACAAGTGAACTAATATATAAGGGAAGGTCACAAACACGTCTACAGCTTTTCAGCAAGTTGTGATGTTCCAAATGCAATATGTTTCACCCCGCTTGTTTGTGAATAAAAAAAAGAATGAGAGCAATAAGCTCAAGCACAACAAAAAGGGGCTTCCTGAATGTTAGTCTTACCAAATAATCCCATTTATTAAATTGCTTGGCTTTCCTTCATCCAAATGAATGTTGATGAGAAAACACAAACGAGAAATAGCAACAAGATGCTACAACTGGGAGACATCCTGATGTGGTAGTTGAGAAGACCAGCACGGTGTTTTTCCACAAGGTTACATTTGTCAATCCACAAGAAGTGCTCAGCAGCCAATGAGTGGAATGTTTACTTCAATCCGTCTCCAGCATCCTCCACATATGGACAAGTATCCATAAAGTCTTGCTCACTCTTTAAAACAGGTACCAAAAGCTAAAAGCTGCGGTAGTTGTAATAAAGCAGAATGATTCTAAGGATATTGCGCTCCCACATCCTACATTCTCTCCCTTTGCATTTACCTCAGTGGGGTGAACATGAACAGAGAAAAACCAGAACGATGCAGCATCTTATACGTGAAATGAAATATCTGACTACTATCTTAAGGTTTCTCAGTGACTTGGACAATTAAATAGATTAATTTGATTTAATATTATTCTGGTGTCCTGGGTTTTAGGGCTTATATAAAATGTATAATATACTGTATATTGTCAAGTTCCTTGTTGGTATATTTTCTTCTTTGTCAGATATTTTTGTTTCAATGTGAATCTTACAGGGACTAAAATGTATTCACTGAGACATTCGCCAGTTATTTCATGTTCCAGGTAATGTTGAAACACATTTTTGACCAATTGCAAACAGAGTGCAAACAGAACGTATGTATAACTGAGCGGAGTCTTTATCCAGCACACTTGTGAAAGGGTATGATGGTTACATTTCAAGGTCAATATAATGTGAGTTACGTGCTGGAGGAGAGACGAGGCAGACGAGAGGAGTTCAGTCAGAACCCAGCCACACCTAAACTTAAGTCATTGACTATTTCAAAGATGGCTGCGGTTTAATTGTGGTGTGATATTCCACATTATATCACACCCTGCACCCTTCCCCTCATCATCACACACAAACCTTGGGCTGTTCGGGGATGCAGCCTAAATAAGGAGAACACTACATCCTGTCCCTTTTATACTCCCCTTTTGCATAACTAAACATGCACGACATGTAGAGCAGATATCACACAGCAAAGGGCGAGGAAAAATACACGAAAACACGGAGCCGTGCAGCCAAGACTTCTGTTTTAAAATGGACCCCGGAACCTCGCAGTCTCTGCGCCTTCTGTTGCTCTGCAGGCGCTGTCCACTTCAGCACCGCACGAGCTTGCACACACGCACAGACACACGCAGGGAGACACACACACACACACACACACACACACACACACACACACACACATATATATATATACATATGCATATGCTCGAATGTACATGCAGGCTGGATAGAAGAAAAAAAGAGAAAAAAATCCGAACCACTCCGACTGGAAAACCCGTTTTGCTGGAATCCTTCTCGCCGAGCTCCCCCTCGACGCCTGCAGGTTCTCCTTCAGCCCCCCCCCTTCAGTGAGGCATGGAGACAACACTGGTCTTGGTGTGTGTGTGTGTGTGTGTGTGTGTGTGTGTGTGTGTGTGTGTGTGTGTGTGTGTGTGTGTGTGTGTGTGTGTGTCTCAGTCTTCACGGTTGCACATTGCTCACATTCAGGGTTGGACGCTCAATCTTTTGAGCCGACGGGAACATTTTTTTAAGCATCTTCTTCTGTTCTCAGACACACAGTGAGAAATACCTGTTTACTGACCTGCTGGTTAGGACGGAGCGCCGTGGACACCATTACGCGCCATTGTGTCCTGATTCATTTAACCGAATAGAAAAGTGCATCTCGGCCACCGAGAGAAGCGGGAGGTTATAATGCGCCAAGAAGTGGCCCGCAACCGCAAAAGTGGGCAAAGCAGTATTGCTGCAGTGGTATGTGGCAATTGTCACGCCGTAATTTACGCAACCGCAGGTTTGTCGAAGTCACACGTTTTATGTGAATTTATCAATAAAAAAACTGTTCAATCGTGTAATTAGGCGGAAAAAAAGAAAAATATTTGTTTTCCTCCAAAGGTATTCGGTGCGTGTTTTTGCGCGTCGAAGGATCTGCACCACACCCGCAAAGCTACGTCGACCGTCCAATGGATACAGGCTCTATATCTGTGCACAAGACGTGCCAGAGCAGGGGACAAAACACCGGCATAGACACACACACACCGTCTTAAAAAAAATAATTAGGACGATTGGAACCAAGTTACGATGCTGCCGCGCCAACGAAAATCACCTGGAGGGACGTGGAGGAGGATCAGACTACTCACATAGCATCCACGCCTTACGCTGTGCCAACACCACCATCCTGTAATCCAGCGGGCACACTATGCGAAACCAAAAAGACATGTGCAGAAGAAGGAAATCTTTAGTTGTATGTGTTTGGGGGTCGGGATGGGGGTCTGGATGGGGGGTGTCAGGCGCCCTACCTGAAGCCTAACGAGGCATCCTCTCTCCCCGATGTCGAAACAATGCCTCTTCGCCAAAAAAAAGAGTTATTCCGGTGAATTCCTCGCGATCGACATCATGCACACATCGTGTTCTGGTCCAGCCGATAGATGCTCAGCAAGTGCAGACACCCTCCCCACCCCCCACCCCCACCACACACACACACACACAAGAAGAGGAAGATGCGGGGCAGTGTGCAGCTCTGCGACATTTACGCAAAGACAGCGAAGAATTGTACCGTCGCCTCAAAACAAACGGGTCGTTTTCTCAAACGATGGCGAACGACACTCACCTCGTAGTGTTTACAGCAGATCAGGAAAGACGATGCGGGAAGTGCAGATGTGGAAAAGCTTGCGGGGAAACTGCGGTTGTCGCCATATTGTTGCCGCTATCTCCCCCTCTCAGCAGAACGTTGAGGGAGTGTCGGCAAGCGCGCTTCGCGAAAAACGTGAAAGGTGATTTATGGGCCCGCGGCACGGAGGCGCTCGGTGTGGTTCGCTAAATGCATCTCTGTGGACTCGTGCTGGAAGGGTTCACTTCTCTCTCACCTCTCATTCCGATCCGCACTAAAATCATATCACACACTGCACAAGTGTGATGAAACGTCTACTCTGTCTGATGCGTTTGTAACAATGTTAAGTATAAGTGGGTTAGGATCTATTCAATGTGATTCCGACACAAGCATCTCTCTCCCTCTCTCTCGCTCTCTCTCTCTCTCTCTAAGTAATGCCGACTGTTTTCCTGCACATCAGACATGCTGCGCTACCATCACTCACTGCTCTCTTTCACATAACCAATTAAGCTGTCAATCTACCTACCTGCCACCTGTCGTGTGTGTGCGGGTGTGTGAGTGTGTGTGTCTAAATTAACTGAATTAAAATGAACTGAGAAGCATTTGATTAATTCGTACATTATCCTGTTGCGATATAACCTAAGGCACCATAAAATAATTATTTTACTGAATCTAAATTAAGCTCATGAAAAAATACGAAAATTCAAATAGATAGTAATATCATCATTTTGTATAATATATACTTTGTTTTTAACGATTCTTTACAGAGTTCATTTTACAATTGATCCACCTGCCCGTGACGTCATTAGCCAGAATATACAGTAACTTACGTTAAACTAAATGGAGTTTAAGGCGCTTCTGCTGTTTGTGATTACTTTGTGTTTCAATGCACTGACCTCGCCACAGGAAAGTGAGTACAACACCCGGCGTAGGAGGGGAATACACTCTGTGTCTTTTTAAAATAACGTTTTTTACCTTAATTGATATCCGGTACGTGTTACGGAGTAGCCAACGGCTAGCTGGGTAGCGTATTACATAAATAACATGCTGCCATGGTTACTGTCCGGGTGCTCAAGCTAATGCTAACTTAGTTAGCGCCCATCAGAGTTAGCTAGCTAGCTAGCGTGGCTTAATATAATTGTGAATGTGGGGTGATTGGGTCCTTTTACTGACTTCACGACTGTACCTGTGTTCAAGTTACGCTACACGATAGCATGTAAAACGTTAAAAAGTCGAAGTTAAATAAAAATAAGCTAATGTTACAGCTCCTAGGAGCGTGTACGGGCTTCGATGTTGCCATAGTTGCATCATCAATCTTGGGGTCTCTGGTTTGAGACACCTTTACTAGAAGTTTATCACATCCTCACAAGTTATAAAATAAACTAAATGTTTTTCTTCTTGTTGTGGACTTATTTTGTCTCTATTGACTTATGGGATAATTGTGTCAGAACTTATTTAGAGTAATTTATGTGAGGAGGGTCACACACCTTAACTGCAGCTACAACCACAGCAGTGTACCCAACTGAGTAAACAATGGGATCAAATTTCAAATATTACATGGGCATTTGTTTTTGTTTTTAATTCTATTTGTGAGGCTGTGGGCAGCGACCCCTAGTCGCACCCCCTGGTTTGTCCCGTATAGTGGGGGGCCGGGAGGCTCCCGAGGGGGCTTGGCCTTGGCAGGTCAGCATCCAGATCCAGTCAATGCACCACTGCGGCGGGACGATTGTCAGCAGCCTCAGCGTGCTAACTGCAACACACTGCTTCCACAAATTCCTGTGAGTACACACTACTCCCACCGACCTTGATGTAACCAGGCGTCCATACGAGCAGGCGTCTGCTAGGATTGATGTCCTATGTTGTCCTATGTCCTATGATGTTTGCCATTTTCTCGTTCCCTCAATATTTGTGTCAGAGAAGTATGCTCATCAAGATGTTAAGGATATACTGGTAAATACTAGTGTTTTTTCCTCTCCTTTTCCACCACAAAGGAACAAGGACAGAGGTACAGTACGTACACTTCATATGTACATTAAAAGGATTCCAGTTTACGGTTACTAATGACACCAAGCCTTGTTTGTGATTGAAGATTGAACATGTACAGCAGGTTTAGTTTGTACAGGAGAAGGCAGTCTGAGTCCTAAACATTCAAATGTATTGTGTTTTGTGTCCAGAGGCATCAGCACAAGCCATTTCCGTGTGGTGGCAGGACTCCGTGCGCTATCTGCTCCAGGAGATCAAACCCAGATCCGCTCCATCAGTAAGGTCAAAATGCACAAGGACTACAATGACGTCACGTCCGACAACGATGTGACACTCATCCTCCTCAGCTCTCCCTTTGCCTTCACTGACTACATCCAGCCCGTCTGCACTCCTCATGATGTGACTCATGAGTTCATCCTCAACTTCAGCCAATGTTTCATCACCGGATGGGGGAGCACCTATTACAGAGGTTGGTTAGGTATTGTAATTGATCTGTGGACACACCAGCCTCCATGTGTGGGTGCTGACAAGAGTCATAGTTGTATCTGCTTTATATAATTTAGAAAACATTCAACTGCTTATGAATGGTAAATAGTTATACGTTTGCCTTCCTTTATATGTTGCTCTCATATATAATTGCTCAGCCCTTTATAAGTGAATAACCATCTCGGTAAACTGCAGGGAGGCGGACTAACAGGCTGCAGGAAGCTGAGGTGGAGCTTATCGACAGGAGAACTTGTAACCTGATGACCTGGTACAATGGCCTCATCACTGAAAACATGATCTGTGCCGGCCTGGAGAGCGGGGCATCTGATTCCTGTCAGGTGATGATACTTTACATTATTTTAAACTCCTTTCTAGGTTTCATTTCAACGAGACGTGACTAGTGTGTGTGTGTGTGCGCCCCAGGGTGACAGCGGCGGCCCCCTGCAGTGTTACAGCGAGGACGAAGACAGGTTTTATTTGGTCGGAGTGACGAGCTTTGGGTACATGTGCGGAGTTCCTCGCAAACCAGGGGTGTACGCCAGAACCAGCAGGTATGCAGCTTGGCTGAACACCAGTCAGACAGCATCAGCGCCTGCTGCACACGGACTGAACACGGGACTGATCTTAGCTCTGCTCTGTGTGCCTCCGATGCTGCTGCTGAACATCCACGCAGTCCACCCACATTAATACATTTACATCAAGCTCATTAGGTTTCTCATCTGTTCAAATGGAATTAGTATTTACACGTAGTGAAAATAGTTTTGTGATGTATTTTAGGCATGGACAGGTGATAAATGCTGGTTTTATCTAAACAGCGAATATGGACAACATATTATCAAACAATACAATTAATACATAGGGAGCAAAAATCTAGCTATTAGCTACTCAATCCATCTCCACCTCAGACATCCACCCCCCGACCCACCACCCTCCAGATCTATCAAGAGTGAGGTTGACTGGTAATAGAATCAATAAAACATGCAAAACCATTAAGAGTTGGGAGGAACCCGTCAGCCAATTACTTAAGAGAGCTTATTATTTTTATTAAAATATGAAAGTAGAAGCTCAAGTTATGTTAATATGTTCATAAACTGCAGTAAAAGAAATCCAGTTTTACTTGAACTTGTAAGACTGCCACCTGGTGGAAGGAAGATGCTTTTTTATTTTAATGCAGCAGCAGTTTCCTGAAGTTTCCAGAGAGGTTTGGAAGGAAAATAAGAAAGAAAGCACGAGAAACGCTGACGAAGGATTTTTCTTTTTTCTTTTTTTATTCGACATGAAACACATCCAATAACAGTGTGACAGTTTTTTTTTTTTTTTAGTCAAGTAAGACATGTTAGAAGTTACTGCACCATTGACTAGTTCAGAATGTCTGTGCTGCAGCTCGACGATGCATAGTGAACAGATAGTTGTTGAGGTATACATTGTGGGCCCTTGAGGTTCTTTTTTGTGTGAAAGATCCTAATTTCATTACCTCACATGTACATTTAAATTTTGTGCTTGAATAACTTTGGAGGTTTGAAATGCACGCCATTCCTCACAATTGGACAACTGAAATAAATATAAAAATGGAAACGGTGGATATGTAGAATTGTTTTGTCCATGTTGAGTTGCTCACCAGGAGGGTTTTGATCAGATCTCGGAGCTGAAGAAAACTGATATTGATATACAATTATAGAACCGAGCAGTCAGTGAAATGTTGGCATGGAAAAAGAATGACTTATATTCACACGAAGAGGACATACAGGAAGAAAACGTCTCTGCGTTATGACATTGGAGGGAAAAAAGGCTGTCAACTTTCCCTTATTGAATAGCACCAACGTCTATTGAAAAGGCTTCGAAGGCCAACGTGACATTATAAAACTTTATTAAAACTTGTCGAAGTGAAATTGTAGCAACAAAGCAATTATAACACAGCAGCTCAGAAGCTATAATGTGCCCAAATACTGGCTCACCTACATGTCATCAGTACCCGTCGCTGATGAAAAGTGGTTTACTGACGTGTTGTGCTTCACATCAAGCTGCTTTGAAATCAAAACGGTTTGCAGAAGTTGTGCCATTTTAAAAGAAAGATTATACCGGGAATTTCTTGATGAAACCCCCATGAGACATATCCGATTCCAAACTGGGATCGAATCAATTAAAATACAGTGGTGACGACATGAAAAAAAGAATTTAAAAAAAAAGTTCAATATTTTGGGATTATTTTCTTACAAAAGACAAACTTTGTTGCACCAGTAAAGCCAAGTATCACTGTTGAACTGGACTCACACGCTCGCACACGCACTCCCTCAAGCGCGCGCACACACACACACACACACACACACACACACACACACACACACACACACACACACACACACACACACACACACACACAAAATGATATTGGGAAAGTGCACATTGTTCCTGCCAAAATAGTCTGAAACATTTGTTTCTTTTGCAATGTGTAACCTTTAAATTAACAATGCAGAACAATGCTGTCAAGTATGAAAGATCAGTCAAGTTTTTATCGACAAAGTTCATATCCATGTACACATTAACACTAGTAATATTTTACCTCTAAAATACAGTATACAGACAACATCACCCTCACTTATTACCTCCATATATAAAAAGGAGGATTCGGCCATATTTTAATCACGGGGTCCGTATTGATTGTTAATTCCTAATTAATGGTATTTCAGTGTTAGACATTCAGAAAGAATTGGTTTAAATGGTAATGATGAAATGAGAAAGTCAGGACCGCAAAAGTAGACCCCTCCACCCTCCCCCCTTTGCTCTAAAACAAGAGATACGAGTGTATTATGAGCTATAAACTGGCGTTCCATCCCACAAGTGAAAATTGGTGGACTAGTTCTTTAAATACACTAAACGCACAGCTAGAAATGAGGGATTAAACATAATAAGAACTAAATTCCACAAGTTTAGTAAGGCAAAGTTCTCTCCTCATTCTTTTTATTTAAAAATTCTTAAGCATTAATGTTAGCGTGATAAAAAGGCACTGACTTGCCTTCTGAAGATCGGTTACCTAATTGACTAGCGGGAAACGACAGGCTGAAAGCTAGCGGCTCACTTCAGTTCAAGCAAGAAAACCGCTCAATTATCTGCAACAACGTCGGGGAGCTTCCACTCGTGTTACAGTCCTCGTTAGCAGACTCCGATAAATGAAGTATAGACTACGAACCGACCCACTGCTGTGTGACCGCATGGCTTAGGACAGGTTTTCTTTTCTTTTTTTGGGGTGGGTGCGGGCAGCATATTTTTCCAATGACTGCATTCAAAATGAGCATGCACACCTAAACACCAGGTGTGGCTTCTTCTTCTGAAGATCTGTGCATTCAAAATAAAAAATGTATTAGTAATTCACAATCATAAGAAGTGTCTCATGGACTGAAATGTTTTCTGCCCATCAAATATAATATCCGGGTTTGCGTGTCTAAGAAGCCAGTCTTTCTTTTCCCACACCAACAAATGATTCAAGTGTATTGTTTTAGGACGTTATGTAACGCGGATGGCGCACGTCTCCAGTGGGCGGCGGGCTGAAAGCCACGGGGAGGAAGGCAATCGGTCAGGACCACCCTCCTAGGGCCGCACTCACTGGTGGCCACGTGTAATACTGATGTGGATTTGCTCTCATGAAAGCAGCAAACATGGAGGAGGGGGCTCTCAGACGGGATGCAGACTCACAGGTGCAAGGACTTTGTGTGTGCAAGAGGATGAAAGTTCCAGCTCCTCTCAACAGTTTCAGTGCACCATCACCGCCTTCAGGAATCAATGAGGTTAATGAAAAATAAAAAGTAATAAAAGCAGACGAGGAGGAAGGGCTCAGGAGGAAAACAGAGGAACGGAAAGCGGGTGGAAGCTGGTAACCAAAATCGTCTTTCAAAAACACAAATCGGAGCCATGAGGGCGAAGTGGGATGCGCGGAGAGAATGAAGAGACTAAATTTCCTCCAATTGACGAGCGGATTTACTACCAGGAAGACCGGCAACCCCCCCCCCACCTCCGGAAGCAAAGAAGAAACAGTATTTCTTCTTGGTATTGATTTGGATGTGTATCTGAGCTCAAGCATCGAGGGCCCAAAGTCCGTCTCCCTCACGTCTGTTCTCGGAGCCTGGCTCAGTTTTCTGCATTGTCCTCAGTGGGCGGATCACATGTTGTAGGCCACGTAGATGGGGTCCAGTTGGTCTGCCAGGAAGGAGTCTCGCAGGTGCATCCTCTGCTTCTCTCCTCTGGAGTTGATGGGGATCACCCCGGGGTCCACGATGACCACCACCCCGACGATGAGGTGGTGCTCCTCCAGGACCACGTTGGTGACGAGGGGCACCAGGTCCAGGGCCTCCTGCTCAGAGCCGCTGAGCTCCGCCACCACGACAAGCAGGTTGGTCCACGTGAACACGGCGCTGAGGAGCAAGGAGGAGTTCAGTCACGTGTTCCCTGTGTTACTGTGCCAACTGCAGGCCGTGGGTGAAGAAAAACATAAATCGCAAAAGCGACTGCGTGAAAGAACCTCACCTTTCTGCGATGCAGCGGTGGGCTCGTGACACTGACGTCTCGATGTCGATGGGGTGATAGCGAAGCCCCCTCAGCTCCAATGTCTCATCCAGAGAGCCCACCACAAACAAGGCGTCGTGACGATCTGTGGCGCAGAAGAACAAAGGTACTCAACTCTTAATCGGTATGGACTTAACCAGTTAGAGGAAATTAAAACATACCCTTAAAAGCTCAATGCAAAAGGGACATGTTTTATATAAATCGGTTTATAACGATATAACGATTGACCCCCGCCAACACTGGCTAAAGAAAGAGGCCAAATGGAGGTGAATACGGTCAACTTTTTTCCCAAATGGCCTTTCACCTCCGCTCGCATCCAGGAGCTCGGTCCTCTTGATGAAGCCCAGGTAGCCCGTCCTGGCCCACAGGGTGTGGGGCTCCCCGAAGCTGAGCTTGGTGTTGAAGTGGTCTGCCTGGAGGCTCTCCTCCCCGTAGATGGTGTAGTAGCCGCTGGCACAGTGAGGGCTGTTCACCCAGATCTGAGCCGGGACGGAAACAACGGTTTTCAAATCTAAGACTGCTCGCGTTCAGATTCATCGATTTCTGTGTCGAACAGCTGCTGTGCGCGTTGCTCTGTGCGAGTGCAACCGCTTGGTGTGTTGCAGAATTGTAGGAGGACATTGTTAAAATGTCAGCATCCAATGACGTGTCTCTCTCCACTCACCTCCCCGAGATGCGAATCTCCCAGCGGCCCTCTGGTCTCTGGGTTGACAATGATGACCCTCACTCCTGGGAGGATCTTTGAGGAGACAACATGAAGTTGGAATTTAGCTTTAGAGATAATGCAAAAGTGCCAATAATCAATACTTACAGTGCCAGACTCCATGAGGGGAAGACTCTGTGGTGCTCCTCGTTCCACAAGCCTCACCCTAAGAAGGACACGGCCAAGAAACGTCAATCATTCTGTTCGATCCGTCCGACAGACCATGTTTGTTTTCACCAGTTGTGTCTCAGCTGGGTCGACCAGTTTTACCTGTCGTGGCGAAGCGACTTCATGTCAACGTAGACGGTGGAGGGGTCCGGTCCAGCGGTGCCCTGGGGATGCAGAGAGGTTAATTAATCATCATCCAGTGATAACGCCCTTGGATCCGTTGAATTGGGAAGTAGGCGTGAAGAAACCAACCTGCAGGCAGATGGCCAGGTTGACCCGGGAGCCGAAGGCGGTGCTGACGGCACGCGCGGAAAGGCCGATATCTTTGAAGAGCTTGGAGAAGGACTGCGTGAGAGCGAGACGAGGACGCTCCTCCGCTATCACCACACAGCTCCGCACGCACGACAGGTTCAGACCCCGAGCCTGGAGGAGCGCACGGCCGGAGGTTATTTCACACGCTTAACTCTGCATGAGCGGACATTAGCCACGGTGGATTGAGATATTGAGCTATGCCGAACCACAAGTACAATATTTATGACTTGTTTAAATTCCACAAGTGTGATTCTGACCTTCAGCATCTCTGTCTGGGTTCCCAGACCTTTGGTGCAGAGCTCCATCACAGAGTAGGAGCAGAAGGTGTCTCTGATCTTGTACTGACTGAGCGTGCTCAGCCACAGAGGCAGCGAGCTCTCCAGCTCCAGAGGAGGAATAAGGATGGACTGGTGACCTGAGTAAACACTAGCACAAAAACACACACTGGCTACAGACACATATTTAAAGGAGCAGTATCAGTGTGTGTGTGTGTGTGTGTGTGTGTGTGCGCGTGTGTGTTACCTGGAGAGGCACCACAGGACGAAGCCCAGGCCACAGTATGGGTCCAGGCAGATGGCTATTTGGCGTGAGGAGTAGAGCTCACACTGCAGCTTAATGGAGCGGCACAGAGTGCTGATCGCAGCATGAGACATCTACCAAGAAATAAACGGTCAAAAATACCGTCAGAGCAAATCCACTTCATCTAATTCCCTCTGGCTAAAGCGATCACATGTCCCTTACAACACGTAGGATTTGGGAGAGTCGTTTACCTTGACTCCAGTCAACATGCCGGTGGTGGACACACTGAAGTCCAGGTAGGCCAGCATCTCAGCTGTAGGCGGTTTATAAATGTTTGGAGGCCGCTTTCTGGGGAGATCGTCTGTGAGAAGGGGATTTGTTTTGTTATTTTCTTATTGGATGAAATAAATTGCACACTTGCACGGTTTTACATTGGTGTTATTGCATCGTAACCTGGTAATTGTTCCGTGATTTTGTTTTTCTCGTGTGCAGCATCACTCTTGCAAGATGCAGAGTACTGGGACTACGGGGAGTAGCTTTTAGTCCACTTTAGGTTTCCCCAAAAGGTTTAAAGTTAGACAAAGTGCAAACGGGACACCTCGTTGACAGAAGGGGAACACATTTTGTAGTCTCAAGTGCTAAATCCAAGCACTCCCACAGATGTATGATAACAACCGAGGTCAGCAGCTTGATGTCATTCACAATGATATGTGAACAGATGTGAAGCACCTGTGTCGATGATCGTGGGCCACGTCTTGATGTTGACGCTGGCAGCGGCCTCCCTGGACCTGAGGATCCTCATGAGAGGCTGAGTGGTGAGGATGCAGGCTGCTTTGCTCACCTGTAACAGACATAAAAGGAGGTCATCCAAGGTAATAAAATACCATTTTAACAATGACCTCTGGTACAAATCCTCCTTCCATCACTGAAATAAAAGGCATTTAATCATTGTTATACTTTATTGATCCCTTTGGTGACATTCTACTTGATTGGTTTCCCTCCAGGGAAACCATGAAGGTATTTCACTGAGTCTGGTTGGGAGTCAGTTACTTACTTCATGGCACTTTGACAACTATAGCAGATCGCTCCAGTGGTCCTTGAGAGCAATATAATAATTTTAAGAAATTAAAATGGTAAATAAAGTAAAAGATGTAACTAATATATCACCATGTATCAGTTGATTATTTACAGGATAACGAATATTTAATATAACGTATAATATAATATTTATAATATAACGAAAGTTTTCTGAAAATGTACAAATCTGAATGTGCAAATTACACATTATTTTATTAAGTATTTTCCAATGTGCACACTTGTGAACCAATATCTGAACATTGGATGAAACCAGGTTTGAATTTTTATTTAAATTTGACACACATTAGAGTCTACAGTTTTTTGGGATATCTCTAATCACTCCATAAATCAGTAAATACTGCCAAAAATCTATTTCTGACATTTTCTTAGTACTAAAATGTGGATAAATCAGGCAGTAAATGATACATGAACCAACCCCTCAGTACATCAGAATACAGATGGAAATTAAACTGGAATGTTTGGTGCAAATGTGGAGTTTCCTGGCTCAGATTACGAGGAAAAAAACATTTTGAGAAAAGGGCAAATGAATTATTGTTATTATCGAATGCCATGTTTTGATACATTTAGGAGAAATCTACAAAACAAAGTGGTAAAACAAAGACCTAAATATGTATTTTGGATGATTTGTTTCCACAAAACAAAAAAAAAGATGAAATAGCACAAAATCAAATATAGATTATAGCAGTGCAGCAGACGGATCATGAGATAGAACAAATGCAGATTTGTTGTCCTTCAATAATTGTATGTGAATTAATCTAGTGTGCTTTGGTAATGGCTGACTGAAAAAAGGCCTGTGTAATGGAAGCAGTATTTAGAAAACCAGTGGGTGGCACTCACGTCAATGATCATGCGGACCGTGGGGAGAGTGGCAGCCAGGTTCTGTGGGTGGGGCGGCCTCACCGTCACAGGGATGACCCCCGCGTAGAGACAGCCATAGAAGGCAGCTATAAGGTCAATGCCTGCAGAGATAACAGAAAGACATGAGCCGTTGGAACTGAAACACGGAGAGATGTCCGTGATGAGATGTCTGTGATGTGTGTGTTTTTACCTGGGGGATAAAGCAGCACCACATTGTCCCCTGTGTTGAGGCCTCCTCTCTCCATCAGTGTAGCTGTGATTTTCTCTGCCCTCTTGTGCAGCTGTGCACAAGTAGCGGTGCACACTGCCACTCCCTAAAAGTGAGGAAATACAGCTGAACTCTCCCAACAAAATATAGTGGATCACCATTTAAAAAGGTACACGGAGTAAAGGCAGGCATTATGTATGTTATTACTAACACACTTTCAGATACACGTGTGTGTGTGAGTGAGTGAGTGAGTGAGTGAGATATCTACCTTGGCATTGAGCAGCACATACAGTATGTGGTCCGGGTCCGTTTGAGCTCTCCATTGCAGAGCTTCAGACAAAAACTGGTGCTGGTAAAGAGAGTGTGTCATCACACAAACATTAATGGTGGACTCACTCAATACAGCTATTGCACACACAAAAAACACAGTTTCATCGGTGGCAAATAATAATCCATTCAAAAAGGATCCAACAGATAAAACACATAAAAAATGCCTCCCTACACATGATCCAGCTATATATAGACGGATCTTAGTGGAACAGATATATTTAGTCAACAGACTGTGTGGAATAGAGAAAAGACAAAAGACATTCTGTGACATCGCCAGGGAGACACACGACCGGAGTACGTCTACAGAACCTCGTAGTGCGGGGTAAGTAAGCAGAGACCATCTGCAACCAGGGCCTTTAAAACAAAAGGGGCAGGACAACCTTGAAAAGCCTTTTGGTGCCTCTTTGGCCAAAATGTCTCAGGGGAAAATTCCAATAGCTATTTTTAGAATTAAATATAAAAAGGAAATAAATGCATATCAGATATGTCATTTTACTAAATTCACTGCAGCCATTATTCATAGTTATCACTTTTAAAGTATCCAATGTGAATGGTGATTTAGTATTTTCAGGATTGAATGGAATTTAATATTAACCTCTTGATAAGTATTATCAATAAGCCAATGAACTGGCTGATGGAAGGATTGAAAAAGACATGACGTGAATGTAAAGAAAGTCTGTTAAAGACAGACGCCAAGTAAAGCTGAAACGTCAATAAACAAAAATAAAGTTAGTACCTGACGTTGACAAAATCGTTTTACAGAAGTGTCCTATTAATATTGATGGCCAAAGTCCAGCCGTTCTCTCTCTTGCTCACTCTCTCTCTCTCTCAGGGCGCGCTCAGGTCACCAATGCTTCAGGAGTCACATCATGCAGAACGTCTACCCTGAGCACTCATCAAGCCATGCTACACATGGGAGCATCACAGTGAACACAGCGAGCAGAGGTGCACACAAAGATGTTCCTGATCAACACCTCTATGGGGTTTATTAGCATTAAGCGTAGCAGTATGCGATAAGATGCTCTTCGGTGGTCACATACGGTAGCAGACCATTTATAACCACTTACTTAAAAAGAAAGACAACTTTTACTAATTTAGATGAATGTCAATTAATGAACTCCAAAGCTTTAGGTTCTGTAAAACGAATAGGCTGCTGGCAAACGCCTCTTTTCAAAAAGGTGATAGCAGCGAGTCTGTTATGTGACACTGATGAGTCTAAAGTGATGTTTAACTTGAGTTTATTAGTGAGTTTAAGTGTGTGGACCCCTGCTGGCCAAGGAACCAGCCTGGAAATATAAATATATATCTCTGTGCGTTGGGCCAAAGCTGCTGCTGGTGGCCGTCAGGCTGTCGCGGCTGCAAAAAGCTGACTGACAGAAGCAGGAGAAGCACAGACGGGTGGGGTTCAGGCTAGAGCCTTACCATCATGGTGGGCCACATACAGAGCTACAGCCCAACCCAAGCAAAGTTAAAAAGGTAGAACAAGAGATTTAGGATCAGACATAGTATTAACTGGGACTCGATTCTTCAACACATTCAATTCGATTTAAAGAGATTTGTAACTACGTTATTCAATTATTTTCTAGATTCTTGAAGCGTAAACATCAGGAAATAAATAGAATCCGAGTTCCAAGGTTGTATTTTGTCCGACAAACAGTCCAAAACATGGAAATACCCAGTTAACAATAGTGTTAAAAAACGTCAAATATTTGGCTTTTTTGTGTGATAAATCCCGTAACTAATCAGCTAATCACTGATGCTGTAATATTGTGAATAATATACAGTGAGTAATGACAGCAACATCATACAGTTCATACAAATATGTTATACCGTTGAGAAAGAGAAGTCCATTGTATTAAACTTCTGAATATTATTTTACGTGCTTTGATGTGAGGTCAAAGTGTGGTTCAGGTGTGTGTTGCAGGCTGTACCTTTCGGATCAGATCCTGGTCCTCCACCATGCCAAGCTCTCTGCCTGTTGCCTGGGCGATCCGTTTCCCTGCCACCAAGTTGCCGACCAGCATAGAGGCGGGTCCGACATCCACTGAACACATCAAAGACGAGTTCCTTTAGCGGCATACTTGGGTAGTCTTTTTCGTGATGTTCTATCGTAAACGCCACTGGCTATGGTCTAAGGTGGACTACCTGGTTGCTTCTGGCGTGGCTTGGGCATGTTGGTGACACAGGTGTGTGGGCACAGCAGGATATTACAGGGGTGCAGGTTTCCCTCCAGGAAGTTCTGCTTGGTTTCACAGATGTGGATGCCTCCGAGAGGCGTCTTTGGGAGGGTGTTGGCCGGGACTAGAGCGAGGCAGTACAGGCCGACTTGGTGGATACTGTCGATGGCCTGTAAAGAAAATGGGTTGTTGTTTAATGATAGCAAAGTCTATATGGTTATTGTAAACTTTTTACCAATCAAAGCAGCAACAATCAATACAATGTAATGCATTACTTCAGTGCATTCACAAGGCAGCATTGTGATCTCGCATTTTGTAGTTAATTGTAGCAACTGTAGGGGAACAAGCTTTTTTTTCCTGCCTCTGTTCTGACAGGAGAACTTTGAACTGACGGCTCCAAATATGACTGTTCTGCAAAAATAAAAAGCTCCGACTTCACTCAGTAGTAAGTTTCCATGCATATGATGTTACCTGCAGTACTCGACTCATCCACTGGAAGCTGTCTTCCTCACTGGCGTCGGGCCTCTGCTCTGCCACGATCACTATCCTCTCATCATAAAACACCGTCACTGAGAACACAGCGATCCTGCACCAATGGCAAAACAATAGATGAGCACTCACACTCAGTGACACACACACACACAGACCACAGGGTGTTCGAGGTATTGTTGAGTTTGGCTGTTATGGTGCCCATATTTGTATTGATATGCATCCATGCAGTTTTGAGGTGAACATTTACACAGACACAAAGCACATTGGCTCACAAGGAGGAGCAGTCAGTGACTCACCTCCCCCTGTAAACAGTTTTAACCGGCTCCACCGCCAGTGCGGTGGCCACAAGGTCGTCGGCGTTGTGGCGCCGCCCGCTCACCATCAGCAGCCCCTCGATCTTCCCCACAACAAACACCAGACTTCCCTGCGGAGAAAACAGTTGAACTCCATAAAAAAACCTCACTTCATTCATTTGATGAATCTCAGAAGGCAAAGTCTTTAATCTCTCTCGCTCACCGGTCCTACAAATCCAAGCAGACCCGTCCGGCTGAACGGAATTTCTCCTATTGGTGCTCCGGCTTGGTTGACAGGGATCACCTATGGAAAAATTACCGGTTGGACTTAAATCCACAGCGTAAAACATCCTGATCTACTATGATAATTAGAATATCTTATATTTATTAGAATTGTGATACTACTTAAGTCATACAATGAAAAAGCAACAGTTCGGCTCCATCATTTAAGCATGTGTTCTTTCCCATCCGTGCATTTTCTGAACCAGCTTATACCGTTCAGAGTGTAGCGGGACAGAGACTGATCCCAGCCCACACTGACATACCTCAAATGTGTTTTTGGTGACGCCGTGCAGGCCATAGTACATGGTGCCTCCAGCCCGAGAGTTGATAACAATCTCTCCTATTTCATCCGTCTTGCACAGCTGAGGAGGACCGTCCGGCTTCACAATGCACATCAGGGCTGAAACAAGATAACAGATTGAAACATTGGGTATAATTCAACACATGTATTCTCATAAAATGTAAGATAAACAATTAATGTTAGGAAAGGCAGGTTGCAATGCCATTTAATACCCACCTCCAGGCATGATGTGTCCCACGTCTTGAACAGTGAGAGCAGAGTTCTTGTCCTCTGTGTTCACCCTGATCACGCCGTGGCTCAGTCCGCCCATGGACAGGATGGCTCTGGCTGGTAGAGGAGCTCCTCGTGCACCAGGCCTGCAGGGAGAGCACAAAGAGAAGTGATGTGGTGATGGAAATAATGATGGGTCAAGCAGGGCAGGAGCAGGGAGGGAATAGTAGTCTAGTGATAAACAAGTCCCGAAGTCTTGTGGTGTCAGTGGTTTTATCTTGGAACATAGTCAAGAGGTGGTTTTGTTTTGATGTACTAAGTAGTGGCGTTATTATATCCTAGAGCTTATTGTTAATTTAAACTAACGTCTTTGCCCGTGTCTTATCCCAGAGCGTGTGAGAATTCACACGTACCTGCGTATGGCCACAGTCAGGGCCTCAGGAGAGGTGGCGCATGGGCAGATCACCTCAGGCTTCAGACCGTGAGACTGAAACACGTTCAGGAAGGCATCACATGACGACACCGACCCTGATAACAAAAGAATGAGATAAAACACATTTCCAAAACAGGTTGAAATAGTCATGCATACAAGTTTATACCACGGCAGTTCTTTATTACAAAGAGCATGGGACTCACATGGGTTTGCTCCATCAGCCACAATAAGCATACGGATGGAGGACAGGCTGCTGTCCCTCTGGTCCTTGTGAGCCATCATGGCCCAGTGGAGGTCACGGCACTTCACCAACGCCACACGTGCTATTGGATAAAAGGGGATGTTATGTGCTGCACATGTTGAGTGTTTTTCATTAAAAACAAAACTGTCAATATATTCACTGTTTCCAACAAATACATGTTTTTGCAGTATATATACATTCGCAAAAAAAGCTTCTATTTTGTCTTTGAAATAATGAAGTGAGATTGGACATTGGCTGAAACCTTTGTGAATGTGGACCCTCTGCACCCAGGACATGGGACATGCTTTCATGACCGCATACGGCACCGTGATGGTGTGGATTCTGTTCATGACACTCTGGAAAAAATAAACATATTGCCAATGTCACCTTGTGCTACAAACCCAAGTTGAAAAAGGTCAACCAATCTGTTGCATTCAGCTCACCGTTAAGACGCCATGCCACATGCCCATATCCTTCTTGCAGTCCAACACGTTGACCAGTGTCTCACCTAAGACAGAAAACACAGACACATAAGCAAGGGCAAACATTGTGTGAAAGATGCAGAATCTTGATAACCGTCTATTTTTTTATGTGTTAGTGCTTATTTTCCCCTAATCATGATCCTCAGTTAATCTTCTCTCAGGTGCCGCTCTGCTGAAGAGCTCACTCGCTGAGCACTGTTACACTTATAACATCATTTAGTTCCCTCTCACACAGAGAGAGAGGGGGTTACTGTAGGTGAGGCAAAGAAGCAGAAGTGGTAACGATTACGAAAGCATCAAGCTCGGACCTTCGCAGTAGTTACAGGCCTGCGTCAGGGCTTGACAGTGTGTCAGCATCGAGATCTTTGACACAGCGACTCCCATCACCGTTCCCTCCTTACTTGCTTTGTACTGTTGGAAGACACACACACACACACACACACACACACACACACACACACACACACACACACACACACACACACACACACACACACACTCCAAGTTAAGTGAGTATAATACCTGGAAACAAACCAATGAAAATAATCATTAATACATGTCATGTATATAGTGCATGTATACCACTTTCTATCTAGCTTTTTCTTTATGAGGAAGAACTAATTCATACAAGAAATCATGTTGAGATGTACAATATTTTGAGTTTAAAAAAAACAGTAGAGAACCTATTTGAAACACATCGAATAGCATTAAAATGTAAGAGGATTATGTTTTACAAAGTCGTTTAAAAGATAACTTGTAATTTCCTTTCCCAATTTTCTCCTGCAGGAAATTTAATACACTTTTGTGGGATAAGCGAAGTAGAAAATGTTCATGTTCTGCAGGGTACCTCTATGTAGGCAGTGTCTGTGTTGGCGGTGGGGATGTGAGGCTGCCAGTCTTTGGACGGTTTGGTCAGGTACTTGGTGTCCGTCACTACCCATTTCATCCTTGGCCATCCTGGTAAACGTAATCACAAAGAAAAACAGAAATATTTGTGATTCGCCACACCCAACTGGAGCCGCACTGCTCACCCTCCTGGTTTCAAGGCCAAACGTACACAGACGGTTCTTTATAAACAGAGCGACAACACATCCACCCTTTCACACACCAAAGCCCCAAACTGGCCAGTGAACCCTGTTGTTCCCTTTTAACGAGCCTGTAGTGACGGCTCCCAGAGAGATCGACATGGAGCTGACTGCTGCAGACTAACCTTTGAACTGGATGATCTCTCCGTTAGGCGTCTTGGGAAGCCCTTTGAGGCACAACTCACTGGTCAGGGCCAGACTAACACCACAGCTTCCCAATAGGAAGCCAATCTGTTGGCTGCCTGCATCCTGTGGAAAGGGACGAGGGTATGAGACATATGACGCACATGGAGGGGCTAGTTTACAAATAGAGTGGCAATTAAAAACAGCCGTCAAAATACTTTTCTAAATACTCCATATTTAAATATGAGCAGTGAATCTGTTGTTTTTTGCCACAGAAAACAGGACGATTGGAGGCACACGCATGGCATTATTATGTAGTTAGTAAATAAACTAGCTGCTCAGTTACAATTAACCTAATTTAAATGGCACAAATTTCAGAAGAAATAATACCGATTTGTATCCCTCAGCGATCACTGAGGAATTCACTTGGCGGAACAACTTTGTTACCTGTCGGGACAGAGGTACCTCGATGGGCACTGGGATGACCTCTGCTAACAGGCAGCCATAGAAAGCCACCCAGAACATGCCGGGGTCGCTGTTGGGATACACTAATGCCACCTGTGAAGCAAACAAAGTATTATTTTTATCCGAGCACTAAGTACACAACGTACCGAGTGTCGACTGAGAGACTCTTACCCGATCCCCAGGTTGCAGCACCGGTTCGGTCTTGGTACCCAGTTTATTCAGCAGTGTGTAGGCCAATTTCAGACTGCGACTCCATAGTTTTCCTGTGGAAAAGACAAGCCCATGATAATATTAAGATGTCCTCTTTGCCATGTTGTATAACCAATTCAGAGTAGGTAGAGGGGTCCATTTGGAGAACACCATATCATGAACATTAACGCGCACTACACAACATATTTGCCGTTTGCTGTGTACGTTGTCGTTGCTCTGCACGGAGGTGTTGCTCACCATATGTGAGGGTGTAGAGGGGCTTGCCGGTGATGTCCAGCGCAGTAAGAGCTGGGCTCTTGGCCTGGGTGGCCCCCCAGCGGGCGAGGGCAGCCTGTAGGGCAGGAGGCCAGTTACTGACCACTCCGAGGGGTTCTCCCTTCACCGGGATGATTTGACGTCCCTCCGGCTTCGGGGTGTTGGGGTCCGGCTGGGGGACTGGACAACCGCAGAGGTGCAGATGAGAGGGCAGGCAGAAGATGGTTAGGACAAGCCCACAGCATGCAACAACATATTGCACTACAGTTGAATTGTACAACTAATAGTATATTAACAAATCCATTTTGGCCCTTCCTTTAGATTTTTACTGTTAAGCGTCCATTAATTGAACATAAATAGTATTAACTAACCTCACTTACCAGTTAGTTTAGTCAATAGCGATCAAAAAAATGTAACATTGTAAAAGTTCATATCAAAAGCAGAAAGAAATACTGGTGTGTCAATACGAGTCTGATTGAAGCAACAACAATCACAGATTGTTAAGTGTTGAATAGATGCATGAGCACACTTTGTGTCTCACCTTCTACAATTTCCTCAGAATCATCCAGGAAGAATTCACTGAGTGGTGGTCTCTTTGGCCGTTTGAGTGTATTCAACAGCTGCTGGATCTTGGTGGACACCCTACTGTTGACAGGCACGCCTGGACAAACGACAAGGCAACAGCCACAGTCAGAAACAACCCAAATAACACCGCACACGGCCACACATGCAATTTGATTGCATCACAAATACAAGTCACTTCATCACACATTCTCACACAGGTAGAACCCTTGGCGCTAGCACGTAGAGATGATCAGCAGCGAGAAGGATTCAGAGGGGGGTAAGAGACACAGATTGGACGATCGTAATGGCAAATCTAATGTAGGATGTTCTGTACGTCTAAACCTATGACACAAAAACAAACAGAGAGAGAGAGAGACAGACGCCAGGCTGGAAAAGCAAGCCGATTTGGAGCTCTTCCGCATCCCTCCCCTTCCCCCGATATCGATTTATATTACCTTTTCTTTTTCCTTTTTTAAATGAAAGTCAAGACAGGGACAGGATTAATGGACCCAAAAGAAAGAAAACAAAAGATCTGTGATTAGCGGCATTCACCACACAGGATAATGTTGAACATGGGCAGACCGCTTTTATATTTCAACCCTCCGATCAGTTTGGTCACTGCGATGCTGGGAGCAAATCACGCATGACATAGGTTTGACCTCCAATCTGAAGAAGAAGGTTAATAACCAGATGACAGTAACAGAGTAGTGGAAACCACTATGATGTTTCTCTTTTTTGTGGAAATCTACGTCCTGATACAACAACAACAACAGACTTTTATAAAAAAAAGAAACATCTTGGCTTGCTTGAGTGTACCGTCAGCAGTTTCAATCATGCTGGAGCGGCTCTGTCCACGGCTCATGCCTCTGACAGCTGGAGGCAAGTCCAACCTGGACCCTCTCTCCTGGGGAGTGGAGGACGTCACATCAGGGGGGACGTTGTTTTCTGGTGGAAGAGAGAGAGGGGAGGGGGGCGGGGCGGTGAGTGCCACAAATGGGAACGAGCAGCAAAAAACACGATTATGTATCGGGGTCAACGTCTGAGTAACCCTCAGTGAGGTTTACCGATGCGCGCGTTGACCAGTAAATCGGCCAACAAGGACGCGGCAGGCTGTGGCTGAGGCTGAGGCTGCGTCTTGGGCTCTCCATGGGAGAGGGTGGAGGACGCAGACGAGGACGTGGAGGAGCTCTGGACCGAGCGGTTGATCCAGTAATCCGGGCTCTGCAGGCTCTGGGCTAGAACTGCACTGAAAGCTGCCTTCCTGCGCAGTGAGCCCTCATCCTCTGATGCAGAAGATGTGTCTGATGAAGAGGAGAAATATTAAATATCCTCAATATTTAGATGTCTTTTACACTATTTGGCTAAATCGTTTTTCAATTGACATTGAATATAGTTCACCTGGAGGTGTGCAGGTGTCTATGGGAGATTGGACGAAGGCAGAGCGTCTCTTGGTCGGCATGGGAAGGCCCATCTTCTCTTCTTTGTGTTTGGCCAGTGCTGCCTGCACAGCCTCTGTGTGGATGTCTACACAAAGGGCAAGAAGAAAAAGGGAGAAGTAGAAAGAGACACAACAAACATAGAAAATAAAAAAAATAGTACGTTGACATGCTGATGGTTTATTATTGGCGGAGGGTGTGTTTTTTATTTATTTATGTATGCCGTTTACCTGATCTGTAGCGGTCGTCTCTGGCCCCTCCACTGCGGTGTGTGCGGTGGTGTTTGGAGGCCGACGATGTGGAGGGGCCCGGGGCCTCGGGACTCGGGCTGGGGTCGACACTGTGGCCGGGGGAAAGCTGTACATCCGGCAGGGACAGATCCACGTCTACGGAAAGGAAGTCGGTACGTGCAGATTAGAAACACACGGACATTAATAAGTAACAAACAAACCCGATCGTCCAGTGAGAGGCACACTATTGCTTCACATAATGCCGTTACAGCTGCAAGGAGGCATGAAATATTACATATTATATTAAAGACAAGCTCTCTAAATGTAGCCTCTCTATAGAGCCTCTGAGCACAAAGTGAAATAAGGACATGTACTTGACTGATGTAACTTATACCGTTAAACTAGGCTAGATCCAAGAAACTATATTTTTAGTCAACTCCTCTCAGAGGACCTGGGCTACAGCGTCTCTGTGTGGATGGTGGTTCAGAAGAATAAGGACACAGGATGCAACGGGTGGCGGCGCAGGAGCCGACCTTTGGAGCTCCACCATAGCGGACTTCACAACCGGGGCAAGCTGCCAGAGCAGAACCCACTAACAACTAGGGGAATTTGATTAAAGTACTAAATATGGAAATGATCCATGTGAGATTTGGATTCTTGCAGAGCTTTTCAAATTCCCTGTGTGCGTAATCACTTTGCATGCGTCATGTGGTAGCTCTCGCTGAAACAGGCCTCAGTTAATCTAGCAGGAAAGGAAGTTAAGTATTCCTGTTTTTAAAATGAGCTTACATTGACACATCAAGAAAGGTCTTCATGCCAACGCTAATGTGGCGTAATTCTTCCTGAGGAACTCTCCACACCCTCATGTGACTCAGCTGAGCATGTCATCTTACCAACAAGAACTGGCTCAGAGTAGTACAGTGAAACTCCGGTAATTCCCTACTTATGTGACCGACAATGGTCTGTGGGTTTTCTACAGCACCACGGTTATTATATTGTATCAGATATACAAATGTGCAATTCCACTTTTAACCACTAGAGTGTCACAGAAAGCCAAGAACTGTCATCGACAATTCGGACAAAGAGAATTACAGTCACACTGGATATTCAATTAGTGACGCTACTTTCTTAATTGAGATGCAAAAGCTAAACCATATTGTTTATTCTATGTGATTCTCCATACAGATGGAGAACAATTAACTCAAACACAACGCCCGGCTTCCTGAACTCATGACTTATTGAGTACTTATGATGCAATTACTTAAAACCTTCTGCATCTCATAACAACCGGCCCAAAAAATGCTGACAGGAAGACGGCTTGGGAGTGACATTAGAAAAGCAGAAGAAGAACTGGTCTTACTGGGTGAAGGGGGGACGTAGGAGGCCAGCAGCTTGGCTTTCTTCTTCTCATAGCCTTTCTGCGTAATGTCACCTAGGAGAGAGAGAACAGTGACACCACACCGTCATTGTAGTCGTGATTAACACACAAACACCGTTCAACTGCGCACACAGAAACCAGACGAGGTACACACAACACTTCTGACACACACAAACACACAGCCTCTGCTTTAGCTCAAACATGCGTCAGGTTTGAGTCATAATAATAACAACAATCTTTAAACCACAGCAGCTGAGCTACACATATTCACACCTCAGGCCATGCACAACGAGGCGCAGAGATAACACCATTGTTTAGCCTTACATTAGCCCCAGCGAATAAACATGACAAGCGCACAAAAAAAAGCCACCAAGTAACAAAACCCAAATTTGATTAGGGCAACGAGTAGATAAGCGAGCGAGAACAATGGCAAATCTGAAGGCTATCGGGAACATTTGGAATACCAAGCAGAGCAAAAAGGAAGCCATGGGAGGGCGGTTCACATGGGACTGGATTTATCTCCACCCCCCCCCCCCCCCCTCTCTTTCTCCCCACTCAGCCCTGACCCTTCCTCATTCTGGCAGGACTCCCACTGCTACCAGAGTTAACAAAGTCTACCCCAAAACACACACTGCGGGCCTGTACAGCAAACAGGCACCCGAGAGAGACCCACACCTTATCCAGGCCAGTAACACACAGACCACACACACACAAACAAAGTCACAACGGCAAAGTTCAACAGCAGATTGGAGGGTGGTGGGCTTGATAAGCCTGCAACTGGGTGGGGAGTCCTGTGTGTGTGTGCTTTGGAGCTTTCTCACACCAGTCACTATGTGGGGTAGTGTTTGCCTGGTAGAACAACATAAAGGAGGCTCCCTGGAGGACAGGGAACGTAGATTGGCCGCATTCGAGTTCAGCAGACTTTTAATTTCAGATCCTTCCCATGCAGGAAATTCTTCAAGTTTCACAACACTGTAAATTCATAGGAAACAGGGGAAGCGGGAGGGACCGGAGGGAATACGCATCATTAGCAAAGTCAGAGACAGTTTGGGGCTTGGGGGTGGGGGGCGCACGCATTTCATTGAATGCTGGGTACTTTGTCATTCTTTTGTTAAGAGAATGTTAAAGTGTTCTCACATAATTAAGTGTGCGTGCTCGATCAATTTGATCTTTACTGGGGGTGAAAAACAACAGCAGCAAATGTCTGATACGGCCCCTTCTCTCGGGGCATTGGCTGAGAATAAACACTCCAAAAACAGACTAAAAAACACCAATCTGCAGCAGATTGATTGTGGTGTGACTGGAGACGGGGTTCGCTCGGCCTGGCGTCCTGGCGTCCGAGTGGTGCCTGGAGGGAGGAAGGGAGGGATGGAAAGATGGAGGGAGGGAAGGAGGGACGTCAACAGAGACAAGAGAGAGTCTGTATTTGTGCGAGGGCATAACAGCCGTGGACTGGCAGGACCACGCGGGCTCTGTTGGTGGCAGTGGGCAGAGACAGCGAGGGCTCGGGGGGTTGGAAGCGGGACGGCGACAGCCGTTTCAAAACAGAGGGAAAGCTGTCGATTTTCGAGAGCAAGAATGCGGCGTTTTGAGTGCGAGCATGAGCAAAACAGTAGGTCAGCGGACAGGATATGAGCATTACCCCACCCTGTACACGTGCTGCCAAAATCCATGTGTCCTTCTAGAGGAGGAGGAATGTGCTGATTGGGGAACATCTAGCAGAGAGGGCCAACTGGCCAGGAGAGCCGGCCCCATTGGCCAGAAACTCCTCCGAGGTGCAGAAAGCAAAATATTTGTGTGTGTGTGTGTGTGTGTGTGTGTGTGTGTGTGTGTGTGTGTGCGCGCACGCACATGTGTGTATACACAGCTGTTGCAGGTTAAGGGGTGCTACAGTACACAGCAGAGTGAAGGCTAACTGAGCCCGGAGCAGAGGTGCAGTAGAAGCCTTCTCTGGGAGATGTGTGTCAAACAAAGTCGTCCGCGTTGTGCTTTGACGCAAGAATTCAGTGACAAAAGGTAATTTACTTTCTGTCAGCAATCCACATAATCCCTCCATCACGTCATGCAGGCGTTGAAGTGCGTCTTCATCAAGCTGGTTGTGTAAACAGCCCGACCAGCGGGGGATGTTTCAGAGCTCATTCAAGTCGAGACGACAGTGACCTCATGACTTTTCCTTTAAAACTGCTGCCGTTGACCTCTAACCTCAGGGCTAGCCAGATAGAGGGCAGAGCTTCTCACAGTTGACAGAACAGGGTCCGAATCGGGACACACACACACACACACACACACACACACACACACATTAACAGCAGCAACGGAAAAACCACATCAATGGTGAATAAGTGATGCGTAATGAAGAGCACGCAGTCTGGGGGAGGAAAGACTGAGGTTTTGGTTATATGCACATGTGGTGTGTGGGGAATACACAATGCAACTCAAATGAACTGGGACAAATCCACACCCGAAGGCACAAAAAAAACGTATGCAAGACTCCAGGTCAGATCAGCAATGTGTGAAATTAATATTGGAATGGGAAAGGACTTGAAAGGATTTTGCTGTTTGTGGTAAATAATCCGAACAAACAGCTTAATCCCAGTTGCCACCATCAGCAAACAGCACTTTGGTTTCAGACGTCGACATAAGACTCCAACAACAAAGCCAGTGTCATTTACCGGCCATTCTTTCAATCGGAGCAACACCTGCAAACGTCAGCATTCCTCCTACTTCTCAACACCACCCAAATCAGGAAAATGCTGCTCTCTGCCTGGGAGGCTCGACGAAGCACTATTTAATGCCAAAGTTTGACGCCTGTTTTGGGGTCAGCGCAAACACATTGTCAAGTAAACGCTTTTTTAGTTAAAGGGCTTTTAGTGTTTGTTTTTTAAATTACAGCAGAAACAGCATGGGTCATAGATGAATATTGCAGTAGGTCAACGCCAGCAACCAGATGATGAAATCACCAAAGGGATACAAACGAGGAGCCAGCGCAGTTTCCGGGGGTCTCATTAACAGTCAGAGGTCACTGCTGGGCTAATGCGTCCTCCCATAGACAGAGTGGTGAGCTCATGGCTGATGCCAGCAGACCGGAGAGAGACTCAGGTACGTAGAGCAGAGGTACACGATTTGTCCTGTGCGTGGTCAGTGCTGCTAAATGGCTTTGGGGATCAGCTGATTAGCCTCGCAGCCCCCACAACCAAACTAAAAGGTTGCGTGTAAACAAAAGGCACAGAGCCAGTTTTCCTCTTCTCCGGTGAGGATGAGGCAACAACACGGATATTTAATCTCATTAAACATGGTTTGTCGGTTTATGTTCATTTTGCAAACAAAGACTACTGCGACCTCCTTGCATGCATATCTCCTCCCCCCCTCCTCTCTCTCACACACACACACTCCCACCCACACGGAGCCCCGTAATTACTGTGGTCAGATTAGTCTGGTGGCATCCAGCTCTGATTGGAAGCACCATGACGGTTTCTGTCAGCCACAAACTTTGTATGTTGCCTTTTGGTATCACTTCCTCTCCCTGCAGGCACACAGGCTGCTAAACAACACATGATGGCACACAAACACACGTCAATGACAATAACTGCCTAGATGACTCGGATAAATAAAACCTCGGTTTCATGTGGTGAGAATAATCCCGCATTTACAATTTGGGTTTTATCCTTATCTGTAATCTGAGATTACATCCAACCTGACAGATTACATCACTCCGTCTGGACATTTTGGATTTGTGCGGTCAAAACGATTGCCATCAATAATGTCCAAACCATCTGAAGCGTGTGAGGTCATGGAAGAGTTTTCAGCCTATGATACCAGCTTCGATTTGCACAAAGCTGTCTTTGTTTACCAGCGGGTTTGTTGTCTGCAACGAATGAGACGCAAACACGCGACACCCTTACAACTCACTCTCACGAGGGATAGAAACCAACAAGAGAGAGCTGGTCTCCACCGGGGTCTCGCTGAGCATGCAACAGCGAGGAGACACAGAGTAAAACCACAGACACAACAGTTTCTCACACAAAAGCGTCCGTGTACATTAAACATAGGCTCTGAGAGAGGAAGCAACTTCACCCACAGGATCTTATTTATAGAGCAGGAACACAACATGCGCTGAGAACACGGGTGAATAGCACTCGGCAGGAAATGCAAATGAATAAGCTCGACTCCGTGGCTATTTGGTGGCACCTGGACCTCAGTATGAGCGGATGTTACGAGCTGATCTCCAAAGCACGCTCTTAAAGGGGAGGAGCGAAACAAGAAAAATAGTGAATTACCGCAAATGTGTGTTCATTCATTTGAATACAATTAGTCTATGATCTATCGATTAGTCGAGGGAGAGAAAAATAAACAGCGACTGTTTTGAAAAGATTTTTGTTGTTTCATCTTTAGTTTGAGAGGATTTGCTGCCTACCTTGGCTTATACAAGCAAGCAACTCAACCCAGTCTCAACTTCAGCATTCTGCAATGGGCATTTTTTCCATTTTAAACACCAACAAAAATTGAATATTAAATGTAATAATAAGCCATTACATTGATCATTAAATGCATGATAAGTAGGGCTGTCAACAAATATTCTATATTTGAATAGTTGTTAAAAACAACTATTTACTATTTTTTGCCGTTTCATGCCAAGGAAAAGTTCCATGTTTACCACAGCACAGCTCACTCGGAGCGTTCAATGTCGGTACTGTAAAACTTAAATTAATGTTAATATTTGTTTCAATCACTGAATGAAGCCCGCCATATAGAATAGCATAGAATCGCGACCTTAAATTGCTTGCAAAAAACTCTTGAACAGCACCCAGCATTTGTTTCATTGTTGCCTTTCATTTAAACTGCTTTGCGCAGAGAGCGCTACGGTGCGGGAGAGAGAGAAAGAGCATGTGTGTGCGAGCGAGAGGTCTGCGGTCTTGGCCATTAGTTAATTTACTTATTTTTGTGTAGGAAATATTTTGTTAAATAGGTTTAAACTTGAATAAATGACCTATACTGGAAGTTATGTGCGGTTGTATTTGTCCTGTTATTGACGTGCCTAATGCTAAAATATATGT